GAGGATCCCACCCGACTTACCAGCGCCCGCTACGCAATCGAACGGATTGATATGCCAAGAGATCCAACCCGAAAAGATGCTGCCTCAAACTCCAGCACATAGAATCCCCCTGGCCGATCTGATCAGCAATACAGAGGAGGCTTTCAATAGAGCTCCAGGAAAAGCTATCACTCCCGAAGACCATGTGTTTTGGAAGCATGAGCCATGCAACACAAATCCTAGAGACGTCTCAGGCTCGCCTCTTGCAACTGGACAAAAGCGCCACCGAAGTGCATCACCCACCAGTTCCCCTCTGGGAGTGGATCCGACACACAATGCGTCAAGCCCACAACCCTCTCAGAGATTCCTGAGAACGCCCCAGCATGACATCGCCGCGGACCTCTGGAGCAAATATATCGGAAAATCCACGGGAAACCCTGGTGGTGATGCACCAAAACCTCAGTTCTACCATCTCATCGCCTCCTCACCGCAAACCCCGGCAGACGTTCGAGCAGGTAAGGATTTGTCGACGCTTCGCAGATCAAATAGTTGCAATGTCTACTGGCCGACGTCTAATACCAAGAGAAGAAGAGTCGACAATGCACAGCAGGCTGTGAAGAGAGTTCAGGACATTTTTGCTGGATCGCGTAGCTCGCTCCTTGGGGCGGGTACTTCAAAGTCATCCAAGATCAGCCTCCTGGTTGGGAAAATACAAGAAACTCTCTTGAAATCGCCGAGAAAAGAAATTTCTGGCCCATCTAGCTCCACTCCTTTACCAGAGCGCTCTGATAATATGGCGGAATACTCAGGATCATCGCTAAAATATACGAATGATAATGAAAACAATCCAATTGATACACCTTCTAGAAGCGCGAGAAGAGTAGTGTCCAGCGATCCTGTTCACAAAGACGCTATGGACAACGTACAGGACTTGAATGCGATGTTGTCCGAGTTTGATGAAGATGGTCTAGATGACGATTTTCTTGAATTTGCTGGGGCAGCTGGCAATCAGCTTAATCCCATCCATTCCGGAATTTGTCCGTCTCCTAATGCTCTACAGAATGAAACGCTCAAAGCTTCATACACCGTGCATCTCCAACCTGATCCTAGTATCAATTCCCCCAACAAACCTTATAAGCACCCCATGTCGCCCACCTCGCACGCCCATACAAATTCCGACGATGTTGAAGAATTTCACGATAGTGACAACGAATTCTCTGAGGCAATGGAGCAAGTTCTCTCACGTTATGACTTGAGAGAACAGACCAATCCAAACAAACAGGAAAGCAGAATTTTAGAAGGGTCCCTTACTCATGACCTCGGAGAAGTAGCAGCTTCTAAGAATGAAGCGGACACCTCTACCTTGGACAGAGCGACATTCACTTCCGATGACGAATTCGATGAGGATATCGACCTGGGGTCTATTGGGATTGCATTGCAAAAGACTGCTGGTACGAATGTTTCGAGTCAAGTTGGTCATCCCGTGTATCAATCAGCTCCTTTTAAAGACCTTTACTAAGTCGTCGAAAGAATCATATATCACCGCAGGCGATTAATCGGTATCTCATACTTGACTCGGCAGAAGATACATATCTCAATTGCAAAGGCCAATTAAAGCCTCAAAGAGTATGATTTCTGATATCCTGTATCCTCAATTTATCATATGCTAATATGAAAACAGGTTCTGTTTGTTCAGGAGGAGAAAACGAATAACAATCGAGCTATCAGTTTGCGGGAATCATGGTATGATACTCCATGCGCAAAAGGCTCTTATATCCACCTCATCGGGAGCTTTGATCTCATGGGACAATGCGTACTGGATAATTCCGAGAATCTGATAATCCTTCACCCTGATCATCTTATCTCAGCAACGGTGTTGGCGGATTCGTTTACTTGTCCGCGCCGCGCTGTTCTCCAAGACCGCGTTAAAGCCACTAGCGAGGCCAACAAGCCGCAAGTTTATGGCCATATTCTTCATGAAATATTCCAGGCCGCCGCGAGCGCGAACCGATGGGATTTAAACTGGTTGCGTGAAGTTATTTCGAGCACTTTAGAACACTATGTGGAGAGTTTGTATGAGATCCAAGTCGAATTTTCCGAAGCCACCGAGTATTTAATGAGCAAAATGCCGGCTCTCCAAGCATGGGCAGAAACATTCATGCGATCTCACCCTACGGTATGAACTGGCCCTGTTCTTTAGATCGGAAATTTACAACTATGCTGACGAACTTATAGAGAGAGTCGATCGTTGAAGACAGGAATGGAACAAGTTCGTGTTTGAGCATCAACAAACTTCTTGAAATCGAGGAACATATATGGTCTCCTATGTACGGATTAAAAGGCAATATTGATGCGACAGTGCAAGTCGTCGTTCAGGAAGGCACAGAGCGGAAAACGCTTACTGTCCCATTCGAGCTAAAAACTGGACGGAACCATTCCAATGAGGCTCACAGGGCACAAACGGCATTGTACACCTTACTTCTTTCTGACAGATACGGTATGTTTGGCGGACACAAGTGAGAAATCAGATTTGCTAACCAGTCACGTACAGATATTGACGTGACTTTCGGACTACTTTATTATCTCGAATCAACTAAGACGTTCAGAGTTCGAGCTATCCGAAACGAAATCCGCCAGATGATACAGCAGCGCAACCGCCTCGCGGAGTTCATATATAAAAATTCAAAATTACCTCCAATGCTCAAACAGTCACGGATATGCAACCAGTGCTACGCTAAAAATTCATGCTTCATCTACCACAAAGTTATGGATGACGGAGACGGGAAAAGCAGCGGAATGGGAAGTAGTTTCCTTGAAGTTGTTGGACACCTTACACCCTCTCACCAAAACTTCTTCAAGAAATGGGATGCGCTTTTGACCATGGAAGAGCGAGATATCATTAAATTTCGAAGGGAGTTATGGACCATGCTAAGTAATGAACGCGAGGGGGTTGGCCGCTGCTTCGGTAATATTATGGTCGAGCCGGGCACTGCCTACGAAGAAACCAGTGTACCAAAAATTAATCGTTTTAGGTATACGTTTTACAAGCACAAACCACCTTCAAACTTCACTTTCGGGGACTCACAGCTCAGTGTCGGGGAGCCTATCGTTGTTTCTGATGAAAAGGGCCATTTCGCACTCGCCAACGGATACGTCACGCATATTAGTCGTAAGCGGATCTCCGTTGCAGTTGACAGGCGTCTCCATAATGCCCGAATGAGGTGTTCAAATTTCGATGCGGAACGACATCAAGCCTTTACAGGAATCATGGAGATTATTGAAACCGGCGGCTCTGAATCGACAATTTTACCAGAAAGGGTTGAAGACACTAATTTGTACCGCCTGGACAAAGATGAATTCAGCAATGGAATGGCCACCGTCCGAAATAATCTTGTCTGCATGATGGACAGGAACATGCCCCAAACTAGGAGGCTCAGAGATTTGATCATTGATGGCCATGCTCCTTCATTCAACTCAATTTCTTCATCAACCATACCATGGCTTGCTGGAACCGAGCTAAATATTGACCAAAAGGGAGCGATTGAGAAAGTAATGAGCGCAAATGATTATGCTCTGGTTTTAGGGATGCCAGGAACCGGGAAAACAACTACCATAGCCCATCTTATACGGGCTCTCGCATCTCAAGGCAAAAGCGTCCTTCTTACCTCTTATACTCATACTGCTGTGGACAACATTTTGTTAAAAATAAAGGACGACAACATCCGCACTTTGAGATTAGGTGCCACAACAAAAATTCACCCAGATATCCGAAAGTTTGCTGACTTGGCAGCTACTCCCAAAGAGACGATAGAGGAGTTGAAGGATATGTATGAAAATTCCCGGATCGTGGCGACAACATGCTTGGGAATTAATCATCCTATCTTTAACAGCCGCATGTTCGATTTCTGTATTGTTGACGAAGCCTCCCAAATAACTCTCCCGGTTTGCCTAGGTCCTATTCGTATGGCGAAAACGTTCATCCTTGTTGGAGACCACTATCAGCTGCCTCCTCTCGTTCAGGATAAGCAGGCTCAGGAGGGTGGCTTGGATGTAAGTTTGTTTAAACTTCTCTGCGATTTACATCCAGCCTCTGTTGTCAATCTGGAGCATCAATATCGAATGTGTGAGGATATCTTGCTCCTTTCGAACACCCTTATATACTCCGGACATCTCAAGTGTGGAACACCAGAAGTTGCCAAAAGTTACCTCAAAATCCCCAACCTCCATGGGCTGAAACAACACCATGTCGACGCATCATCGCTGTCTCCCAACCTCCGAAATTCTTGCCTAGGATCCCGATATGGACGGTGTTGGATCCGCGATCTGCTCGACCCTGTCGCAAGAACCAGGCTTGTCAATACTGACCCTTTACAACCTCAGGCCGTAGAGTCATCCAAGGGTTCCCGTATCATAAATCACATCGAAGCCGTGCTCTGCACGCAGCTGGTCGAATCTTTCCTTTCCGTAGGTATCTCAGCTCAGGATATCGGTATCGTAACTCTCTACCGGAGCCAGTTATCCCTCCTGAAACAGAACCTCCGCCACCACCCCAACGTCGAAATGCACACGGCAGACCGGTTCCAGGGCCGTGACAAAGAAATTATCATCATGAGTTGCGTTCGCAGTAACTCAGAGCGGAATGTTGGCGAATTATTTCGGGATTGGAGACGTGTGAACGTCGCGTTCACTCGCGCGCGAACCAAGTTGCTCATTATTGGAAGCAAGAATACGCTCCGTGATGGCAATGAACTACTAGGAAAATTCGTCCACCTTATGGATTCGAAGGGATGGACGTATGATTTGCCGCGTACCGCTGTTGAAGAACATGTTTTTGAAAATATGGAGAACGGGCTGACGCAGTTGAGTCCGCTTAAAATCACGGAAGCTATGCGATCAAATTCAATCAGTCCAAAGAAGAAGAGCCCGGCTAAGAAAAGCCCCGGTCCCGATCAGAGTCCTCTGAAGGCTAAACATCGCATGGCGTTGAGCCCAGTCAAGAAGAGACAATCATCTGCTTGCCCAAAGAGGCCGCACAAACTGGGGGGGAAGCTCGTGGACGGTGCGAAGATTGTAGCAACGAGACCGGTATTGAGTGATGTGATGAACAATTTGACATAGCGTTTCTAGCTTGATTGCCTAATTGGGTTATGATTGATATCGTTTTTTGGTCTTATCCGCCTTTGTATTTTGGTCTAACTAGTATCTACACGTTGGATGATAATCTCAGCTCGATACTCTTCCTGCGCTGTTATCGCTTTTCGGCCAATCTGCCAAGTCACTTAGGGGGCTTCGATTTCCGTTTTATATAAATCATCACAGTGTAACATTAATGCCATGCGACTCACAATATAGTCCTTATCTTTGTCATTTCGGCAAATATCAAGCCTCAAACTAATTCGATTAATCATACGACGAGGCCCCTGCGTACTCCCAGCAGATAAACTGATGCTGGGGTCTCTCCCCGGCCGCGGAAGTTTCTGATTGTTGAATTCCAGTAGGTTCTTTATTCAACGGCTGGAACAAAACAGTATATCCGTCCTTGCTTTCCACCGCCTCCCTGCCTAGCGCCAAAGATGTAAGAGCAAACCACCCATCAGACTTCGAAAGCCCAAAGGTGAATTTCCGCCTGTTGGTCACCATTAGCGGATTTCTAGAAGAAGAAACAAGTTTTCATGATGATAAATTGCTTATTGAAGGATTCGGAAGTGGGGGCGGAGGGATGTGGGCAGTTCACCAAGACTTCAGGTTTGTAATGCGATCGACCGCCGGATGAACAGATGGCGAAATCATGGGATGAACTCACAATGTAAATGCAAATAGCTGTGTTATCCACGCTGAAGGGAGCAATCCTTCCCAGGAAATTCTAACTAGATTGACTGGCCGACATTCATCTTGGTTCGGGGGAGCGTAGCGACTCAAGTATGGATCAATGGTATCGTTGGCATGCACGCGTGGAGAATTAAGAAAAACCAGTCCAAGCCATTCTTGAATCTCGTCGCAAGTTTCGTGGAGGAACTCTAGTCCAGTGCCAGTTTCAAGACCTGATAAAAATAACGGTGGAACAGTGATTGACCCGAGGGTATTCACTTCAGGGGTGCACTGCAATATCTGGGGATAGTGTTTTTTTATCGGTGCATCTGTGTGGGAAATGTTACGACAAAGAGGAAAAGGTAGAGAGCCAGAATGGAAGAGGAATTTTTACCTTCTTCTGAGTAAGTTGGTGACGGGGTTAAGTCGCAGAACAACCAAGTTACAGATGTTGTTAGTACGTTCTTGAAAGCCCAAACGATCCGCTCGAAGCCCTTCTTCCCATGAAGCATTGATGGGAGCCTAAGGTTGATTTCCACGGCTAGATGTGTAAATTAGCCAGCAGTTCCGGGTTAAATGAAGAAACAAAATGAAAATACCGTATCTCTCCTTGACGTGTTTTCTCCCTCCACTACGGGATTGGGTTTGCCGTCCAGGCCGGCGCGCTCAAATGAATTCTTATCCAACTCTAATCGGAGAACTCCTGGAATAATGCGTTAGTATTGTGATAGTATTGTGACTCTCTAGTTATAAAAGGGAGAAGATGACAAACCATTGTGGAGGGTGTACACATTATCCACACCGCTTCTGCCTTCGGAGATCAAGAGGATATCGCCTATACATTGACATTAGATAACAAAGCACTGGGCTGTAGTGGTTGGCATAAAGGACACATCCAGATGAAATAATGGGAGATCTCGAATACCAGTTTTAATATAACAATTGAAAAAATCACGCTCCACCAAAACCGACAACGGCATGATCACTTTAGCATATTGAGGAGTTTGAATTCGGCTGGATATGAAATCCCAAACCGAGTCATAAATTTCCTTAGGCAGGATGAGGGATATCTTAACTGCATATTAGAAACCAACTCCATAGAAATTATTTTTACATGCTGACACTAAAACATTCAATTGATAGACTGAGAAGGCCTACTTACAGAGTGCACGAAAGGGTGTTTAGAGATGGAGGAAAAGGGACATTTTTTGATAGGCGGCTGCTGGGGATCAACAAAGGGAGGTAGTTTCCCAATCGTGGTATAGCATTTCTCTTTTTGTAAATCAGGGTCATCTATTTCATACATCCTGCCAGCAATTGCCTTCCTATTTTCTTTGGCTATTAGACCTTGAAATGCTGACAATCGCGAACCAACAATTGGTATCAGAGTGTGAGTGAGGTCAAAATTAGTTTGCGCGGGAAGTCCTAAGAATAAGCTTAAATTTAAGCATTGTTCCCTCCAATTCCATGCTAAGCCTCCATCGCTTTCATTATTCTTCTACATGAGTTATTGAAGTGTCGATATAGTTAATTAATGCATCTCAATACAATATAAGATATGGACGCTCCGGCCCCAACAGAGACAAGCTGTACGTATTTAGCTGAAGTTGTTGCAAGAGCACCCTACGCCGCCGATCCTGGCTTCAAAACGAACCCACCATTCGACGTTTGATGGCTTCCAAGAGTTATCATTATATACTAGTAACCATAACTCCCTTTGTGAGCTGCTAGGTCATCTAACCTCAGAGCATCAATTGTTAATGTCATGCATGCCAACGAAGAAAAAAAAGTGAATTGTTTGAGTTTTCACCAAAGGTGCATGCAATCTTGGGATAAATTAAACATTCGTTTGTTCTCGTTTGTCTCGAACAAGCGATTAAGCGCAAGCGCCCATGGCCCTATGGGCAGCGCCTAGCCGAGCGACCGTGCCCGCGATGTTTCTCAGAAGCTCTTGATAAACTCGACACCGAAGAAGAATCCCCAAACCCCGCTGCCATCGCGACAACGTTCCACAACCCTTTCTGTAACCATGTGCATATCCTAACGTATGTTGCGAACTTAACGCAATTTCCCGCCTTTTATATTGTTGAGAGGCATAGGCTTCTGCCATCCACCATCATGCCCCCAGCCCCATCTCGACGGATGGTCCCAAAGGACCGATTTGGCCAATTGTTTGGCAGCTTGAAAATTCAGAGCTATTATGACCCTGCGGCGCGAGGTCCGGGTTCTCATACGTATGAATTATCAATGCTTCTTCTTTTTTAGGGTTGTATCTTTCCGATTGATCTTGAAGCCTTCAACCTGACTCTGGACATACAGCATTCGTACCCTTGCATGGAATCCGACAGGCAGCTTGATCGCAACCGGCTCGGTGGATCGCACCCTACGCATCTGGAACCCTGAGCGCACACATGTAAAGTACTCGACGGAGCTGCGTGGACATTCTTCTGGTATAGAAAAGGTTACCTTTAACCCTGTCAAAGAATCGGAATTGGCAAGCTGCTCGAGTGATGGAACTGTCCGTTTCTGGGATGTACGGTCTAAAACGTGTATTAGCCGCGTGGATGTAGGAGGCGAGGCATTTACGATGGCATGGACTGCTGATGGAAGCGTAATACTCGTGGGCAGGAAGGTTCGTTCGCGCAGATCGTACAGTCACAAGCGTGACTGACTGGCTTGCTTTTTTGCTCAGCATCATTCGGAACGCAAAGGGCTCATTTCTATCATGCTCAATTGGCTTATATATCTGTCCCCTACCTACAGGATGACACATTAATACCCATCTCAGTCGAGTCTCCGTCTACCCCCGCTCTTCAAACGCCTTCCGGAACCACTGCCCCGGCCAACATTTTCAAGGCACTCACGCTACATCCACAACCAGTCCAAACCAACGCTACCGCATTTTCACACTCTCTTAATACTTCTGATCTCGACCTCTTCCTCACCACCGGTGACGGTACCGTAAAAGTCGTCTCCTACCCGTCATTCAACCTCCTCCACACAATCCATGCCCACACATCCGCGTGTCTTTCAATCGCACTCAGCCCTACATCGCGCTACCTAGCCGTTGGCGGAAGTGACGCTTTAATATCCCTCTGGGACACCACAGACTGGATCTGCAAACGCACCGTATCAAGTGCCAACGGCGGCGCCGTAAGGGGCGTCAGCTGGAGCTGGGACGGTCGATTTATCGTGGGGGCTTGCGACGAGCCCGGCTGTGGCGGCTCTGGGCTCGAGATTTTCCACGCTGAAACGGGAGAAAGTGTATATACCATTCCTACAGGAGGACTGGGCTCTGCGGCTGGAGCCAACGGGGTAGTTGGAATTGGAAGCGGCCCTGGAACTTCAGTCGGCGTTCCCGCTGTCGCTTGGCACCCGTCTCGCTACTGGTTGGCTTATTCTGTCACCGCTGACGGGATGGGGAGTAGTGGTGGTGGGTTAAGGATTGTCGGAGCGGGGAGTGGATCGTTGTGACACTCAATAGCGTCGGGCTATGGGAGACTTATAGTAACCACTTGAAATGGCTTCCCATTCCTCAACAGGATCTTCGACAGAAGGGGAAAATACAGTACAAGCGACGAGCCAGATAAAATTGAGGGATGACTGTTCTAATCTTCTTGAAAGCAGGTACATTTTTCTCCCCCACTTCTAAGGGAATTTATTCAATTATTTATATTATACATCTAGATATCACAATATACGTTCATGACGCGCTATACATATGAAAATCGTATTTTTACCTTTTCATTTTTAGCCGATGTGGTTCAAAGAATTCCCTGACCCCAAGTGTGAGGATGTAAAGTTGATTTGCACGAAAGGCCTTGTGATCGACGCACCTTCACTGTTTAGTATTATTAGAAATAATTATTATTAACGTTCCTGGGAGTTTCGAACGTGAAGCATTTTCTAGCTGCAGAGAAAATGTATACGATGAGTGATATCGAAATAAGCAATGACCAAAATTAATAGTCAGACTCCCCTTATCATTTCTACATAACTTCATACGAGCATACCATAGTAGGAAGCCTGGCCATTGTTTCAAACAAAGAGACAGAACGGGCGAGATATGAGTAAACAGCTAGTTTATTCAGAACTAAACTATAATTCGTTACATATTTGATCAAATCCAGCATAGAAGCAAGTAAATAAACCCAGTCAAAGAATGAAACGGGAAAGAAAAACGAAGAGGCCAAATTACAAAAAAGAGATATACAGAGCCTGCAGATTCTGACTCCCTTCCGTTCAAAAACAGTCCTCCAAAATTGCCCAAAGTGAGTATAGAATCCGAATTTGTACGTTTTTCCAATATTTATCTTGACTTCCATATAAATTGATATAAATGAAGGTTTGCTGTCTTGATAAAGGGACCGGGGAATTGAGAGCCACATAGTCCAAAAGGTGGGATTAGTATAATACAACAAGTATAAAGAAAAGGGCATTTTCATTTTTTTTGTAAAAAAAAAAAAAAAAAAAAAAAAAAAAAAAAAAAAAAAAAAATTAAAGATAATGAGAAAAAAAAGGGAAGGAAGTGAATGATCGAACGAAGGTCCAGGTGCAACCTTGAAATTAGCCCTGATAGGTTTCCCAGGACAGGGGATCTACTCCACCAGGCCAGGTAATATTGTCAAGGTTTGGTATATGATCAACGAGTTCTGCAGAGGTAGATGCCGAGGATGGCTGGTGGGTACCCCGAGTGTTCCATCCAGCGGGAAAGGCAAAAGGGTTTTCAAATCCAGCGGTGTTTGGGGGTGGATTTCCAGGGGTAAAGTAGTTTGCATAAGCAGTTCCAGTATTGTTGTCAAGGCTGGATTCAAATTGGGAGGGAGGGAGGTCGGGGACATATGCATTGGGATTTGGTCTCTGGAGCTGTTGCCGTTTGTGGTGTTGTTGAACGGGGGGCGATGGTTGGTCTATAATACGCGGGGAAATCGAACTGCTCGATGACTGGTTTGTGCCTGGGGTCGGATGGTCAGAGGACAGGTACTGGCGATCGCTTATGGTGCTGGCCTCTGACAAGTCCATTTCCACAGCCATCGACTTTACGAAGTGCTTATCTGTGGGAAGTGAAAATGACCCGACGTTCACTCCATGTGTATGGTTATCATTCCCGGAAGCTGACACCGATCCAACTGATGGTTTTGACCGATTAGGTAGCGAGGACATAACAGGAGGGGCTGTGGTCTGCTCATATGACGATGACACGGCAAGATTCTCCGGCGGTTGAAGGTCATGTTCCTGAAAAATCGTTTTCAATGCTCCACAAGAGTCATTCATTTGTGGAGATTTCTAAACGGCCAATTGTTAGGTTCTAAACGCAATTATATCACTTGACGACATTATTCCAGGTCGCCAGAATAGTTTGCTCGCGCCCACAGGACTTACCTCGCCGTACCGTAGACCAAAAGCGAACTTCTGTGTTTCAGATTTGCTATTACCTCTAAGTCCTTCAAGGTCCGCATCGAGCTGCATGAGAAACGATTCTGTGAGGGGGACTTTATGTTTAAGAACATTCATGGCAGCCAGTAAGAATTGAAGGGATGAATGAGCTGATCCGTCATCTGGTCGGCACTTCAGGTACTGCAAGAATACCCGACATGATACATACAAACAGAACGCAACGAAAGGGTTGATCTAAAAACGGTTAGGACAGATATGTTAAAAGTGTCAACTACGGCACTCACTAGTGTTAAGTCAATATGGCTAGCCATTTTCATTATGCTTGTTATCTGATCTGCAGCAACTATGCTTCGTCGCTTTCCCTCTGCTGCAATTTGGCTAGGCATATCATTTTTCTCCGCTTTGAAAATAGCTGCTTGGTGCAGGCAGATTGTTGAAGAATGGATGCAGAGGTTAAGGAAAACGACGCTCGAGTCATTGATGCCTTCTGGTAATCGCAAATGGCTAGGTAATGCAAGAGATGTGCTGAGAAGGATGTTATCCAAGGCCCTATGCCTTCTCCAAAAGCCGCCATTCAAATCGTGATCGGTATCACCTGGCGTTGTCCGGTGAAGATGATGGAGATTGCGGCCAAAAATGCATGCGATTAATACAAGGCCCGCAAGAGACGACAGCGTTGAAATATTTTCACCAGCCGTCAAACTCGCCAACGTGTAAGTTTGCTGCATTTTAGAGTTGAAAAATGCTTCATCGGAAGCAGGAAGATTGGTTAAAATCTAGCATCGCTCACTTGTCAAAGATTTGTTTCCCGAGGGACACGGATATTCCTTACATCTCGTTCATCCATCATCATGGGCCATCCCGTACCCACACTTGCATATCTGTCTTGACAAAAAGCTATCCAAAAGGTCCTTCTCCGCTCTTCCTGCTCAGTCCAGTCTCGTGCAGGCCCAAGGCACATTTTAACTGCGGGACCGCTACCATCGAGACGATGTAACCCCATCATCATACACAATCTCATCGCATGGCCTGTACTAATCCATGCACGTGGAAAGAACATCAACCTGAACTCGTAGGAAGACAATAAGATCCAAGTTTGGGCGTGAGCAATGGTGATCATGGACTCGCCAAGACCTCTCATTTGGTCCAACTCGGCATATTTTCGTGCACGTTGATAGAAATGAGGATGCAATGTTCGATACTTATCCGTAACAGAGGCAGCCAAGGCCCACATTACATATCGTAAACATACAGGAGGCCGCATGTTAGGTGAAAGATTCATTGCAGCATAGTATCTCGGTTGGTGTAAGAGCGGCATTGAAGGGTGAATTTTCTGGAAATATATCTCATTCCTGGAAATCATCCGTCAGGCCATATTTTCATGTGGGATGGCAGACTGGAGCTTAGGGGTGGCACGTACAACTCATCAATAACATCCTGAGCTGGAAGGGGTTCTTCCAAACCCAGTCCAATCATTTCCCATGAAAAATCCCCCCCAGAAGTAATGCTATCATCCGGCAAATTGATCTGAGTGGAATTTAAGTCACCAAACAGGTCAAGGGGAACTGTACGTGAATTTCCTGTTGGGTTGGAGGAGGGGAAAACATCGGCCATGCTATTAGCCACACTGCCAGAGGTAGGAGGTCGAGGGTTGAAATCTGTGGGCACGGGAGACTTTTGGAAGACATCCCCGGAGTCTTGAGATTTGAGTAAGGTTTCGACTTGGGCTAAAGCAAGGAGGGAACAAATACATCAGCAATGGCCCACAATTAACTGTGATTAGACACAGGAAGCATGGGCTCGGAAAAATGGTGATACCTAATCTTGCTTCTAATAGCTTCACATAACCCCTCTTTGGGCCACTCTTTTTCCTCACTTCATCGTAGGCACAATCATGGCCCAAGCGGGAACATGTACCGCAACTTGGTTTGTTACCATCACATCGCAGCTTTCTTTTTCGACATATAATACAAGCTATCCGCTTGGGACGAGGTACCCAAGCAGTGCTTTGGTTTGCTCCATTGGCTCGAGGTTCTGGACTGCTATCGTTTCCAATCTGTGTGGGAGGCTCCGACTGATGAGCCACGCTATCTTGTCCCGAGGGACCACTTTGTTGTAGTTCTCCTGACCGAACATCAGATAACTTAGTTGATGGTTGGTTGACACCGTCCATGACGATATGGAGCTGAGACCAGAGGTGCATCAACTTGCGGGGAAGAAAAGTAATCGGCGAGCGGATGGAGCTAAGATGCCTGAGCAGGCAATGATTGACTGCGAGATGGTCGCTTGTCCAGGCTCTCATCGAAAATATAAGGACATGCTTTGCGGGGCCTGTATTCCACGTTCAGAGTTGTTGATAACGGTGCTGCCTTGGGCGCCGTAAATGTTCCTCCAGGCGCATGTTTTTAGTGCTGCGCTCGTACTAGTATCTGTCATCAACAATCTCGGCACTTCTGGCCAGTACCAAGACACCATAGGCGCGCTAGTGTTGCCTCCATTCCTCTCAAAGGACGTCATCGTGGATGCCTTGTCTTTGTGGCACTTGGTGGTTTCTTGGTGGTTCCTTGACCCGTCCATTATGTCAACAGTCCGTATCTGGTGCGAGCCGAGAATCGATTTCCTTAGGGCTTAACTACTGACTAATCATAGTTTTCCAGCATCCATTGGATCGAATCCTCAATCTACTCTTTCATGCCACACGGGCTTGTCAGTGATCAATCGAACACCATATATGAACCTATGTACTCGCCGTGCATCTCAGGGACCTTGTTGGTTTTTGCAATTCCAGGTTGGGACTGAAAATCACAAACCAGTGCTTATTACCATCACCAGGATGCAGCCGTCCTTCAATTCAAGAAAAGCATGACATTTTCATTCCAGAATTGGAACGAAGGTCATAAGGCCTTTTGGGGAATCAATTGCGTGAAAATCCACCTACGTGAAAATCCACCTACGTGAAAATCCACCTACACACCTTCTCACCCCTCAACCAATTTTACATTGCGGTTATGGAGTTTACACTTCTAGATTGCACCTTCAAGGGGATTGATAATTACACCCCTTATCCGGCTAATCATACCCCTTCAAAATTCGCCAATTTTAATAAGAATAGTACATACATGACATTAATACAAAACAACTAGCCATTGTGATGGAAATGGCCCAAGAAGAAAACGCCTGTAGATTCGAGATATCTCATCATTCCATTCCTCCTCCCTGCCTGGCCCCCGTCCTTCAAGGGACCTTATATATCCATCAGCTACAATTTTCGGTAGCATCAACGTGGCAGTGATTGATGCCATTAGATCCCAATCTTGCATAGTCATCAGGGTCGACTCTGCGCTCAAGAACTACGAGTTAAAAATAAGCAGAAGCTTACCAACAGCTCATGGGTTAATGGCGTCGCCAATACCAAAGGCTGGCGATACGTCTCTTGTCGATTCTCCTGGTGTGACAGTGTTTTAAATTCTTGAGGGAGGCAAAGTATTGCTACACAAACCACTTGCTCATCACGATTGAATAGGGAGTAGCGGCTATCAGAGAACTGTCTGTGTTCCATGAGAATACTAAGGAAGGGAATTCCCGAGTTGAAGGTGTCGGGGTTGTTGTAAACAGTGGAAGGATTCGTTGGTTAGAGGCGACAAGTCAATATACCGCGGGGAGACCATAAGTAACCAGCGAGCGAGCAAGATTCGTTGAGTGGATACAATGTATTCGTCGAGGGTAGGTTTCTGAAATGTTAGAATGAAGAAGTAAGTTTTGTGAAGGACATGTCTAACACTCGAGACAAACTATTTACCAGCCGTTTTGTGCACTAAGGCAGACTTTTGTGATGCCGTACTTTTCTGATTATGAACCGGCTTTTCCATTTCATACCAATACTACCGATCAAGTGATTCTAGAAGGCAAACGAGTCTGGCGAAAGGTAAAATAGCCTCCGGTGAATACTATTTAGGCAAGTTTGTGACTATCTTTCTCGGGTTCACCCAGTTACATATCCGAATTACTTAGATACAACCCGTGAGGTTAAGGATGGAAGTTATTCATTTACCGTACACATCCTAAAGCCACAGATTCAACAAAGTGATTGTATGCAAGAACCTTTGTTGGTGGTGAACGATGGATGCCCAAGGTAGAGAGCGAAGCATCTTTGGGTGATCGCACTGTCAAAACATGCGGCCACCAGGGATGCGCAACGGAACCTGATCTAGCAGAAATTTACTGTCAGTCCAGCAGGTGAAAGCCGTAAATATGGAGATGGCAATATATGATTGTATACAGGGATATTTGTGATGATGATAATGGTCGCATCTCCTTGTTTCCTGAGATGCTCGACTGTCCGGGTACTTTCGAGTACATTTGATTCATTCATTATTAGACAACAAAAGAGTGCGGCAAAGGAACTAAAGCCAATCACACTAGGCAGTCAGGGTAGTTAATTCTACGTGGCTTGCTTGGGGATGAAGAAAAATGCCCTCTTCGCCATCCTTTGGACCTCGCAGCAGAGAAGCATACAGAACCTTGCGAACTTACGTTGAACCACCAATAGCGCTTCAACACGCAGCGGTGCAAAAGATACCTGCAGCGCTGCCTATTTGAACGAACTTATACGTGTTCTGACCGCAAAAAGCTCCTGCCAGCAGCTGACCTGCTGGCCAGTGAGGCTCGCCAGAAGACAAGGCAAATTCTATGCTACACTGGCCGAAAGGCTGTGATGCGGCTTTCTCAAAACTGGCATCGGGCGAGTCCAAGATGCTATATTTTATATTCGGTTTGCTCCCGCTTCCCTTTGGAAGCCTGCAACTATTTTTCTTCTCCCTCCGGCTCTTCCCCATTTGGTGCCAAAACGTTATGGTGTGAGTAGATGATACTGTGATTTCGGAGCTGGCGCCGAGCAACCCCCAGCGTCAACGTATCTCCACTTCACACGCACGTCAAGAACTCACGATGTCGACAAGCAAAACTGGACCACGTCTAGAGCCAGTGTCCGCTTCGTGGATCTCGACCTCAACGGATCACCACGTTGCTGTAGATGACGATGTTGTTTCTTTGCATGACAACCCCAATAGGACCTCACCATTTGACCACGACTCTGGACGATATGGGAACGCTGATGGGATAACCCAAGAGCAACCACAGGAGGTTCGTAACCTCTCCACCATCAGACAGGTTCATAGTGTGTTGGTTCGACGGGAACAATTCTAATTGCTAACAACACGGTCAATATTAGATATTCGTTTCAGAAGCATTTTGGCATGAGCTTACATTCGAGGTTCCCCAAACACCGCTTGAGTCTGATGAAAGATACAAAATCAAACTTAAGCAGGATTACTGTGGGGTGAGATTTTCTGTGCTCTTCCTTGACAAGAGCGTGATAATGTTCAAAGGACCAACCCTCGTTTGATTAATGTGTGTCTAACTTCGCGATGTGGTTGCAGCTTGAATTTTTGGGGATGATCCCGAACTTTTCTCGACCTTTCCGCTCGCTGCCATCAGCGCGAGCCAAAGGCAATACACCTCCCGAATCCCAGACCATGGGAAAGGAGCCAAATTTGCAGAAAAGCAACGATAATATATCCTTGGTTATGCAGGAATCAGAGACTCTGTAAGTCAAACAAGCTTCACATCTCTGTTTGATGGCTTTAACTCATTGTTCTACAGTCTAGACCACCCTCACTCTGAAGCCCAGTCTTTAGATCACTTCCAGAAGGAGGTCTCGAGCAACACTTCAGACACATGGATAACACTACGAGGTCTTAATGAGAATCATCACAACTCAATACAGCCATGTGGCCAACCTCTGCTAAAAACGGCACACCCATCCGGGCCACCTCGGATCCTCAATCACTGTCCCAACGGTTATCCAAATGGTCCAAGTAATCTAACTCCTCTCATTTCTCCTGAGAATCCTGAGAATCCTCCACCGCCAGAACCACCACCCTTTGGACAACGGCCATCGAGTTCTGCGCCCAGGACGCCAAAGCATATGATGGATCATATACACGCATCCCATAATAAAACCTCCTCAAGAAACTCTAATAACTCGTCCACTCGAAGCAAGCTCCAAACAACGGACATGATTCAGAAAACAGAAAAAGGCCGAATATCATCGTGGTCAAAGACTTTCAAGCAAGTCTTGAATTATATTCCGCGAAGGCAAAAAAAAGAATCAAATCACGAAGACACACCCCAAGTTGGGTATGTCGATACCGATCGCGAAAACCGGAGAAGTCCTACGAATATCTTTCAAACGGGGAGAGCAGCCCATGGTGAAAGCCAATCAATTACGTCGGACGTTTTCACAAGGGAGACAGAGCGCTCGACCCCAAAACCACCAACGTCCATTTTGTCCAATGCCAGTTCTTCCATCGAGAAGCCTCGTTTGCCTCTTAAAGTAGCAACAACGCCACTCACCACGTTAAAGGAGTTTCATTGCACGTTCTGCCTGATCCAATGTGAAGACAAGGGAGATTGGCTCAGGCATGAACAAAATTTCCACCTGAAAGACCTAGAAAACTTCAGCCAACCTTGCAAAGGGAAAGAAGCAAGGCCCGACAAAACCAACTCCTTGGGTTCGAGGTTGAGTAGAGATAAAAATAGCCGCCGGCTTCTAACCAAATCACAACCTCAATCATCCAGCTCCTCTCCTCGCCGCCAGCCTAGCGCACAAAGCGCTGGAGTCAGTGTCTACTCCAATCAACACAGCGGGCGGCCAGGAGCCGCCAACGTATTTTGGAATTGCGGCTTCTGCAACGAACTTCTCCGCTCTTGGGAAGACCGACAGATCCACCTTGCTGAACATTTCAGCAACGGCAAGACCATGCGACTGTGGGATCCCATGAAATCACCATTCCCGTGGCGGAAGGGGTCAGCCATGCCCGTCGACTTCCCACCATACTGGGATCTTCAGTCGCTACTCACATTACAGCGCCCCACGCTACAAGATTCCATAAACCAGATAGGTACCTCTGCTGACCAGCGGGGAACAGCAGCGAAGCCCTGTAAGCTCTGCCACGTGCTGCACCCCAGCCTCGAGCATTACGATCTATGGCACCAGCCCAGAGACACTTACACGTGTCCGCGGATCACTGATTTTACAAACCTTGCCGATTTCTTCGATGAGGGTGAGGGTGAGCATGGCGAGCTGGTCGTGGACTGGTGCAATGCCTGTGACGAGAGGTTCGACAGGCCCCATTACCTCGACAGGGACGTTCGCATGCAGCACTTATGGGATTTCCATGCCTTCGGTGATTGTGCGGGTTGGCATAGCTGTCTCGATGAGGGCCAGTTTGTGTTGCATCTGGCGAACGCACATGCTGTTAATATCGAGTTTATCAGGAAGCTAGTTCACCGGTGTAGGGGAATTGGGGATACGCCAGCATCGATGGCGATGGGCAGCGATTCATGAGACGAAAAAGGAAGGGGCTGCGCGTGGGGAGACCCTGGTTTATTGCAATTTTTACTTTTGTCACCACCATATTTATTTCTGAAATCGTGTTTTATTGCATAAGCGTGGAGTTGGGTGATTCGCTTCTTTTGTATTATATGTGGAGTTTTTTTTTTTTTTTTTTTTTTTTTTTTTTTTCCTAAACGTTCTCTCTACGCAGAAGATAAGCCCCTCCATCTGTTTGTTTCTGTTTCTACATACCCGGCTTCTTTATTGTTTTATTCTATATCTTCGAGCTAGTTTCCTGCTGTCGATAGATGTATGGCTGAAACCTAGGGCGGGCCCGCACCTATTACTTAGATCTATCACAATGTACTCTACATCAGGTCTGCAAATAATAGGAATTCCGCTTCCGCCACTTCTCGAACCAGTAGAATGGCCCTGTTTTATGAATGGACAATGCCAATAACGGAAATACCATTTTGGTTTGTAGTTGAAGACGAAAGAGAAAGTGAACACAAACAAACAAGCAAGACGTCTATCGGGGATCGGCAGTTAGGTGAGGGAGGCAAGACAAAATATTGTACAGAGTCTTATCATGTATTGCATCGGAAACGAAAGGTTTGAGAAGTAAAAAAGTGCAATATATTTTCGATGGGAAGACCCCGCTGAATGCGTAGAACACACACAAGCATCTTAGAGAAAATCAAATACCAATGTTCATTCCTCCCGATGTAAATGGAAGAGCAGAGCAAAACCACGCATCCGCTGATCATAACGTGAGCCAACCATGATTGGTCATAGGGGGAGGCAAGGAGTAGCCTTAATGAATAACAGAACTACGGGATCTCTATAAACAGGAAATGACTATTCTAATCGGCCATTCTAACAAAGAAGGGGTAGATTCCAAACCAAATAATTGTGATAAAATGCCTTTGTTAATATAAATATACAGTTTCCATAATGAATACAAGCATGTTCGAAATGGGTGTTGGGACCGGCGAGGAACTGGGACAGCTTTGTATATTTGTAATACAACAAGAAATAAAAAGGCCGGGAATCTATGGACTTTGACCTGGTGGTCCGATGGGAGCGCCTTAATTGTATCCTCTGCGACGCTTGCCTTGGTTCCGTACGCGCGGGATAATGACAGCCTTGTTGACGCGGTGCTTTGGTCGAGTTTTGTATCCGGATTTGGCCTGTAATTCGACGTAGATGAAAGAGAAGAGGGTGCCAAATCAGTAAAGAAGTAAAGATAAAATGGGGCTTGTATTTTAAGAAGACAATTGGGAAGGGAAGGGAGCATATAAACAAGGGACAACCAGGAAGGGGGGGGATAAAACATACTGGCTTGCCCCAGGGACTTTTTGGATGGACGTTGCCCTTCGACTTTCCTCGTCCACCACCGTGGGGATGGTCCTTTGCGTTCATGGCGAGGCCTCGGACTGTCGGACGGATATTCAACCATCGGCTTCGTCCAGCCTTTCCAAGGGATCTATATTTGAAATAGGCATTACTTGCGACGCCGATGGTTGCACAGCAATCCTTATGGATGAGCCTAACTTCACCGCTGGCAAGGCGAATGGTGACATGGTCCGCAAGCTGTTTGAGTTTGTGTCTCTCCTGTAGGGTAAGAAGTTTCGCGTCTCCTTCTTCTGAAGATACGCTTTCCGCTTGTTGTATTTCTTCAGGCAATTCTTCGGTTGCTTTTAGAGTGATCGTTGCAAAGGTACCAGCGGCCCGGCATAACTGTCCTCCCTTTCCCGGTTTTAATCCTATATTGTAGATCAATGAGCCTACAGGGATCATGTGAAGGGGGAGGCAGTTCCCTCGCCACGCAGTTCTGGCAGCTAGCACACCGGGATCGACTGTGCCGCCCATACTCTGCCATAGCTCGTCGGGGATACCTGCTCTGTAACTCTCGACAACATCACCTGCCCTCATGCCCTCAGCAGCGATGATATAACTCAATTTGCCCGTGTTCTTGGACTTGATAAGAGCAATATGCGCATTTCGATTCGGATCATGCTCGATTCTCTCAACCGTATGGGGTCCTGGTTCCTTCCGCTCGAAATCGACGGTGCGTATTCTCCGTTTGTGGCCTCCACCACGATGCCGAACAGTCACTCTGCCAGTGCTATTCCGGCCACCTTTGCCATGGCCTTTTTTCGGGAAGGTGAGTTTGTGCACCGGCCTTCCTTTCCACAAGTGGTCGTTGATTGGTCTTCGCAGATGCCTGAGACCGGGCGTGCGGGGTGTATAAGATCGAATACCAAGCCCTTCCTTATCCCTCATTGGAGGAGGAGCGAAAGCGAAACTAGGAGTTTCCTTTTCCGGTTCGGCTGGTCCATCTGGCTTCTGGAGGAGTGTGCTGGAGTATGCGCGAGTGGTGATTGATGAGAGGCATCTACAGGAGTTCTGTAGGCTCCTCAATGGGAGGCGTGGTTGGAGCATGATGGGCAGGAGAGAGCGGAGGGTTCCAAATTTGCTGGCAGGTGTAAAGAGGCAGTCCAATTCTCAGACACACCCAGCAAACCCAATTGATTGGAGCAAAGGGAGTTTCAGTCCCTTGCCACTACAATTAATGCTGATGTGCTGGGGCTATTTCTTCAACGGCAGTTGATCTGTTCTGGTTGCTCACTGCCCAAGAACTTTTCCTTAGCGGGTGTCACATGATCAAAAGAGCTGACAGTATCTCCAGCCACGGATGGGTCGCACCGCCACGGGCCGGTTGATTTTTTTTGGTGGGGTAATTTAAATACGGTATATTACAGGTTATTCGTCGTGTCTGGCGCCGTAGCTGGTCTCAATACATCACGAAACAAGCCATAACCAGCACGTGAGCAGCATTGTTTCCCGGCCAACATCCTTTGTTTAGAGCCCAAGACGTACTTCTCGTACCGCACTTACAGTTTCTTACCGCTACGGACACCGGAATTGAGTGTATCTTTTGTATTGGGGCGGTTTGTTACGCTTCAGTACTTGTATCCGCTATACATTTCGCATACCGTTTAAGTATCGCTCCCGTCCGCAACCACGCACATTACGGGCTCCAATTCCTGCTCCCATGTGTGTGTTCTTTCTCTCACCTCCATCACCATCCCCTCGCATCTGTCCAGGTAGTCCTCTCGCCCGCATCACATCACCTCAGTATACCTCACCATCCCATCCCAATTTACTGCTTAGCTGTTCACTTCATACCACGCATCATACTGCTTATTCTACTCCTCTCGGCTACTACAGCCTCCGTGTACGCGTGAATGCTCGTGGAGCGGCTCTTGATTCTCTTGGCGCCATCGACCACGCGAAAGAAGCTCCAAACACATCGGACGTGCGAGTCACTGTCACCTCATTTCTACTTCTAAATATATAGTAAGAAGGCTCACATCTCAGCCATTGCCCCCGTCCCCTAGTTCTTTTCAGCGTTCGAATTCGTGTGCTTGGGGAAAGTTGTGCCTAACAAGGCTGTCAACAATCAGGGCTTGGTGAGGACCAAGCTGTTGCTCTGGTTTTTCAAGGTGTTTTTGCAACCACAACAATACTTCCATCCGCCCCTCTCAAACCACGACGTTTTCCCCATGAAATTTACACCACAACTGGTGCGACATAGTCCCCTCATACGTGTTATCACAGCGTCTTCTCCTTCTAATACCCCATCGTGTTGCAGAAAGAGTAGCAATTAGACGGTTGCACGTAACGCCATTCTTAGTCCATATTGGAACGTACAATTCGATTTGACGCGTTCCTCTTAGCTTTTCCGTCGCTCAGGATGCCACCTGTAAGTCCCTTTCTCCTCTGCTGTTCACTCAAGGGGATATGGCAAATTACAATGACACATCGCCCCTTTCATGATAATTGCTTCTGTGGTCTTTGTATTGATACCTCTTGCCAGGCCCGGGCTCTTCGCCAGCGTGGTGTCACGAACGAAAATGACGAAAATGGAGCGACAACGCGGCTAACACGGGCAAAGACTGCTACTCTCAGTGTCCAGGATGCTCATTCCTCAAATGGAGCAATTACAAAACCACTGCAATCCAAGAAATCTGCTGCCAATACCGCCAACACTACCACTCGGAGACGTCCCGCCCTGGGGGATGTTAGTAATATGGCAAAGATGGACAACGTAGATGGTACCAAAGAGGCGAAGAAGCCAGCTACCTCACGCGTTGGTTTGACTTCCAAAGCCTCCACGCACAGTGCTGGGGTTCAGAAACTTGGTCGAACAAACACATCACGGTCTGCCCTAGCTGTGAAGGATACCAACAAACAACGAGAAACAACCGAGTTAAAACGTCCGGGCAGTGGTTCTGGGGTTTTGGGAGGCACAAAAACGAAGCGTCAATCAAACCAAAAACCAACCCGAGCCGAAGCTGCAAGCGCTGTTGAGGAGCCACCTCGAGAAAAGGTCGATTCGGAGAAGGCTGAAATCGAGAAGACCGAGAACGAGAGGGAGGCCGTTTTGGAGAAAGCTCTCGATGGAAAAGAAGTCGCGCTGGAAGAAGAAGAGGTCTTGGACCTTGACACTGAAGACCTCTATGATCCTATAATGGGGGGTGAATATGCAATTGAAATCTTCGATTATCTAAAAAAGATTGAACCCCAGACCATGCCCAACCCGGACTACATCTACCACCAAGAAGAACTCGAGTGGGGATTGCGTGGCGTTCTTGTTGACTGGCTCATTGAGGTCCATACCCGTTGTCCGCCTCCTCCCCGAAACCCTCTTCCTCACGCGTCTTATATGATCGACCGCTTTTTGTCTGCTGCAGGTTGTCGCGT